GGCCGCAACGGAGGATTAAGGTCCTGCGGCATCGGTTCATTCTGCGGCCGGACCTTCTTCGCCACCGGTTTGTACTTTCCCCCGTTCACCCTAGTGAGTCGAGAATTCCCGTCGCCTGCATCCCGTCGAGCTAACAACAGTCCACGACCTTCCCCTTTGCTCACGAATGTGGCACTATGATAGTGTTTTACAGTAGTACCAATCGGAGATGCACACGATGGAGGACTTACTTGCACCCTCTTGGCCTCCGCTCCTCCATTCTGACTCCGCTCTTCTCCTCCGCCAACCCCGCTGGTTCCTCTCCCTCGCTCGTCCGCTACCCCTATTGCACACGCGTTGCTCACGACAGTGGCATTGAAGTAGTGTTTCGACTCATTCCCCGGAGATGCATACGACGGAAGACTTACTTTTGCTCCCTTGTCGCCTCGCCCCATCTCCACACCTATACCCTCTCGCTTCTTAGTTGTCGACCGTCCATACGGAGTCGAAGCTCTCCCCGTACGGATGACTCGGCCGACATCTAAAAATCCTCCGGTGGCGGCTCATGGCACCACTCGCCATGCCGCTCCTCGTCCACCACGTGGTTCAACCATTCTCCGCTCTGTGGTTGGCAGATAGTGGTTTCGAATTGCCTGCCTCCGGAGTCTCGCACCGCCATTATCTCCTCCCTCCGCCTGGGGCAGAACCGCAGGTCCGTTCTAAAAGCAAACAGGAAAGGGCGGCCGAGTATAATCTCGTTCGACCTCGTGACCAAGAACGAGATTCGTTCTTCCACCTTGGCCACAAGCACCGGCTCCGCCTCCACCACCCCTTCTACCTCGCACCTGAATCCCCCCATGGTACGGATCGACATACTCGTCTTCCGCCGCGCAAGGTTTGTCGCTCGAGCCAACTCCGCGGGCATGATGTTAATCATGGAGCCGCTGTCGATCATCGCCCAAACCTTCTGGCCCCTGATTTCCATCTCGACATACCCCAAGGGGCAAGATACCAGCGCCCGATGCACCGGCTTCTCGTTCTCGCCGAACTCCACGCTCCGCACTTCAGCTAGCACCGTCTCAACGGGCGCACTAACTTTCTCCGCGGTTTCCTTGAACGAAGGGCCCGCAGCTTCCCGGATACTCCCTATCAGCTGCTCCGCCATCAACGGAGAGATCGCCGCCAGGTCTTTAAGGGTGAGGGAGAGGGCCGTATCGTTCCCTAACGCTTTTCGGGCCAGCTCGCCTGCCCTCTTCCTCTCGGCAGACTGTTGAGCTGCCGGCTCCCTTGCTTTCGGTTTCTTCGGCACCGGCTCCGCTCTTGGGGCCTGATCCAGGTCCATCCGGTCATACCGCTCCCCAAAACAAACCCGTTCCTCCGCTGCTACCGCTCGCACTTCGGCAGCAACCGCCGGAGGGGTCCATGCTTTTCCCCGCTCCACTATCCCAATGTGGGACTTCACTTCGGCCTTCTTGCCCTTACCACCCGCAGCGGTCTCCGCGCTTCTCCGCCTACGAACTTCATCGCGAAGGAATCGGCCGCTTCTATCTTCTCGCCATCCAG